CTAAAACCAATCCTCGCTTTCGATGGCTCTAACGACATTGAATGGGAAAAGGCTATCGATCGAACCCTCCGACATGCCTTTGCGCGAGAAACCGCATTCATTGAGGAAGAATCATACACCAACTTCGATACTCTTGGTATTGTCGAAAACGTGAAAGTTGCCGAACTTCTACGCAATACCCTTGATACCGACTTGCTCACTATTGTAGAATCTGAAGGATCGACATCGTCGAAAGATCTGTTCAAACTCATCCGCGTCAAATGTAGACAATCAGGAAGACGTCATAAGATCATCCTGATCAACCGCATACTGAAATTTGCTAGCGATCGTTCCCCAGCAAGCGAGTCATGGCTGGCGAAGTTTTGCACCATCATGACTGATGTCGAGAAGGCAAAGATAAACGTTAATGAACTCGGTGGCCTCCTCCTTCAATCACTCGCTACAGCACCCCCTGGAGTTGACTCAAAGAATTTCGATTACTCTGTCAGCCAACCTCTAGACGACATGAAAACCGTACCAACTCTAGGCGAAGTCACCACCGTCATACAATCTGCCCTAAGCAAAATCAGCTCTTCGGGACAACTGCCGCCTGGTACAATCCCGTCCGACGTAGAGATGTCAGTACAAGCATTGAAGACTCAATACCGTGACAAGGACAAATACCTCCCACCACAGAAACGCCCCGACAACAGACAACAAGCAACGTCACATACCCAACCAAAATTCTCAGTAGAAAAAGCATCCTTCTACAAAGGAAAAGGCCACTCAGAATCACTGCTGGCGAAATTCGGCTATGCTTGCTTATACTGTCGTGAGACAGGTCACTGGTACTCCGATTGCAATCTCTATTGGCAAGATGTTCGACAAGGTCTTGTGGAAGCACCTCCCGCATCCCACAACGATGAAGGATCTCGATTCATACCACCCACCCGAGACTTCTCCCAAGCAAATCGCGGTGGACCCCCTCGCCAGAACAAACAACTCAATGGCCGCATCAGGAAAATTGATATACCCGATGCAAACGATGGGACCGTGTTACTTGACTCCAGCTCTACCATCAACGTGAGTGGAAGTTCAAAGTTCTTCACAATCTCTCGTCGGCTGGAACAACCGCTGACAATCTCATTGGCAATATCTCAATACACCGCCCCGATTGAATACATTGGCAGTCTGAGAATCCCGACGCCGACGGGACTGATGGTGATTGATGACGTATACTTTTGCGAAGGAATAAAAGGGTCGATCTTATCCACCGGACGACTAATTGACTCTGGTTGGAAAATCATTCACCAGGACAAGGACGTCACCATTGTGGACACCACGGGGAATCCCTTTCACCTTAAATTTCATGATTTCTGTTGGACATTAGACATATCCCCTGATGCAATGATCAACAAAATTTCCCAAACACCCTCCTATGATCCGTACCTCTGGCACGTTAGACTTGGCCACGTTTCTGAGCCCATTGTCCGCAAGTTCCTAAAAAATCTGCTCCCAGAAGTGAAAATATCTTCGAAAAGCTTTTTCTGCGAACAATGCGCCATCTCTAAGAGCCTCCACCTCAAACCAAAAGGTGTTGAAACCCAGATTCCCCGAGATAAACCTTTGGACTTATGTATGACGGACGTCGCCGGCCCCTTTGATACTGATATCAACGGATGCCGTTTCTTACTCACGATGCGAGACCACGCAAGTACCTACACATACTGTGCTGTGATCCCAACAAGGAAAGACGTCCCGAATAAGATCATGACGTGGGTGACCCATCTGAAGAATGTTTGCGGCCGGACACCATCTTACCTCCGATGCGATAATGCCGGTGAATTTGTCAACGACCTACGTGAACAACTAGCTAAGGTGGGGACAACGCTTGCTCCGATCTCGCCCTACCACCCAGAACAGAATGGAGAGGCCGAGCGAGTGAACCGAACCATAGGAGAAATGGCAAGAACAATGTTACATGCAGCCGAGATGCCAAAAATCTACTGGAGCTACGCATATCTTACGGCCGCGTACATACACAACCGCATTCCCAACTCACGTGTAGACTCATCACCATTGGAGAAACTGTTCGGTATAGTACCTTCACCACTGACGTTATATCCTTTTGGAGCTCGAGCAATTGTACACATCCCAAAAGACAATCGCACAAAACTAGATGAACGCGGGATTGAATGCCGTCTACTAGGATACCCAATAGCTGGATCCGGCTGGTTATTCTGGTCAAAAGAGGAACGACGACTTCGACAATCAACCTCCGCCGTCTTTCCTGACTTCCTCCCCCTAGAAGTAAAGAAAGAACCAAAGAAGACCGACATCGACTTTGTTGTCAGCCAAATCAAACTGGTACTAGGCGGTGAACCCACAACCGAGATAGCTGAAGCCGAGAGAAAAGCAATCGCCAACTTGCCCACCGGGACAGAATTTGACATTCCGAAAAACATCAAATTTGCCTTGAAAAGCCCTGAAGGTCCAGAATGGCGCAAAGCTGCGGAATACGAGATTGATAAATTCCGTACACTTGACGTCTGGGAAGCCGTAAATCCTTACGATGGAATCAAAGTCCTGGGAGCAAGATGGGTGTTCACCATTAAACGCCAATCAGATGGATCGATTGAAAAATTCCGAGCTAGATATGTTGCAAAGGGGTTCAACCAAACCATGGGTGAAGACTGCAATGAGACCTATGCCCCTACCGCATCACTGAACACTCTACGCCTTCTCATCTCCGTTGCCCAAAGACACAACTATCCTACGGCATCTTTTGACATCAGCTCAGCTTACCTCTACAGTCCAATTGAAGAGGAAGTTTATGTTCAACCCACCGATTGAACTCGTGCCGGAATGGAAGGGAAAGGTCATGAGACTCAAGAAAGCAATGTACGGGACCAGACAGGCTGCCAGGTGCTGGTTCAGATTTTTCAAGGAGAAAATGGAAAACATTGGCTTCACAGCGAGCGAATTAGAACCGTCTTTGTTCTTTTGCCGCAAGGGAACCGAATTCCTAGTCATCTGGCTACACGTGGACGATGGTTTCACCATGGGCTCGTCGCCGGAAGTGCTTGAACAACTACGGCAAGCAATGTCATTGGAGATGGAAGTTAAATGGAGTTCAACTGTGGACAAGATTGTTGGTATCAACCTGAAGAACGATAATGGACATCTCTCTCTTAGCCAAACCTTCCTTATTGATCAGACAATTTCCGGGTACTCAAGAACAGCATTTCCAAGAAGAAGCACACTCCCAGAGGAGGCTCTAGAGATCAATGTAGGCTTGGAGGTCAATGGCACGGCATATCGGTCAACACTAGGATGTCTCATGTATCTCTGCGGAGGAACTAGACCAGATCTGACGTACTCTGTGAATTTACTGGCAAGATACAGCGCCAACCCATCTGAAGAACATTGGAAAGCGCTGGACATTCTCATTGGATACCTCAAGAGGACAAGGGATATGCGACTTCATTTTGACAACAACGGCGGGGATCTTCAACTGTGGTCGGACGCAAACTGGGGAGGAGAACACGAGAGGTCAACTTCGGGACACATCATCAAACACAATGGTAATACAATAGCATGGGGAGCTAAGCGACAAACAGTAGTGGCATTGTCAACATGTGCGGCTGAATACATCGCCCTTTCGGATGGATCTCAGCAACTAGCCCAACTCAACAACTTGTTGATTGACATTGAACACAACATTCCTATGGAAATCTATTGTGATAATGAGGCGGCCATACTCATTGCAGGTGACAACGTGTCAAAGAAGAAGACCAAGTATCTCTCACGCGCCTTCTACTTCATTAATGATTTCATTCGACAATACAAGATCAAAATCGCGTGGACCAACACACACAATCAACTTGCAGACATTTTCACCAAACGCCTAGGACCTAACATCATTGAGAAAGCACTGGAAAAACTCAACATCAGAGCGGTCAAACTTCACAAACGTGGGAGGGAGTGTTGAGAGAGGAAGTGTGACACGTTTGTGACAGGTGTTGTGATCTAGTAACCGTTGTAGTCTAAACCTATCTGTAGTTCATATCATCTTAGTTTAGACTGCGCACCGCAGCATTTGTACTTAGTCTAGTCATCTACGCGCGAGGCAACGGCCCCTCTTCTTCTCCATCCAAGTTGAGGGACCGGAACCGGACGCTAGGTAGCTAACCGTAGTCGCCGGTGTTACACAGGTTAGTTTGCAATTCATCCAAGTTGAGGGACCGGAACCGGACGCTACAGCTATTTCGGAAAGGGTTGTCCACTTGGACTCGCGAAATCTTTTTTATTTTTTTATTTTTTTTATTTTTTATTTTTTTACTGAACTGGACCTGTCAGAACTGAACTATCGATGACAGCTGTACCTCCTCGGCTGTAGTTCAGTACAAAGAAAAATTTAAAAATTTTCAAAAAAAAAAAAAAAAATTTGAGAGACAACTGGACAACCCTTTCCGAAATAGCTGTAGGTAGCTAACCGTAGTCGCCGGTGTTACACAGAGTGTCACCGCTTGCTTCCTAACACTTGGGGTTCAAGATCTTGAAACGTGGAATGTTTCAGAATCCCATGGGCATACAGGCCAACTGTATTATGAAAACCCGACATTTGAAAATTGAAAATTGAAAAATGTCATGAGCCGATGCGTGTCCCCCCTGGGCTTCCGTAGTCTCAGGAATCAGGATACAATGGCATCGGATCACAACTTGCAAAGCTCAGATTGGGATTTGGTTACATACATACAATGATGGCAAGGACAAAAACTGTTTTTTTTTTTCTTTTGGTTTAAAATATGTACTTAATCCTGATCAAATCCAGTTTGATCTTGAGACCCAAGTTTTTTTTAAAAAAAAATCACTGGAACCAACTGCACAAAGTGTTCATTACATACTACAACAAGAACCAACTAGGAATATTTACATGTCAACAATGCAGGATGAACTCGATATAAATATGTAAACATATAAATATCCAAGCAAAGATATGGAGAGGGATCTTGGTTATATGGAAATGGGATATAGGCTCATAAGAAGAAGAAATGATCATCGAGGGCGTCAAATTGGGGCAACAAGAAAGATCGCGAGACATCACAAAAATGAAATAAAAAGGAACTAACGATTCAGAGGGGGAATATATAAGATCAATCAAATAGGTCGTCATTTTTTTTTTTTTTGGTTTGTTCTTTCATAATAACTAGTAAAGTTCAGAGGGTCAGTCAAAAATTGATCATAGCAAGAATAATTTTCTTCTTCTTTTTTTGTGACCATAATGATAACAAAAAAGAAAGAAGAAAACAATCTCAAGATAGACGAGGAAGTATGTAAATAGAAGAAACGAGGTGGGTGATTTATCTGTGTCTAACTTTAGGACCCAGAGCCAAGAGTTTATCGGCAGGTTTAGAGAATTTGAAAGCCGAAGAGCTGGAGGCTTGATTAGTTCGAAGATGATTGAAAGGCAGGGGGAGCTTGTTCTTTTGGTCACGGGCAGGAGTAGACAAGTCCCTTCCGAACAAGGAAGGCATGACCAAATCTTGGTCAGCTGGAATGTTGGGAGGAGGGGAGGAAGAGTGGATATTGGAAGAGGAAGGATGGTTATGATGAGTTAGATCTTCAGGGTCAGAGGAGGATTGGATTTCGATCTGGACATTGGCACTGGGATGGTTCTGATGATGATCAGCTGGAGGCTTGGTCCTACAGATTCTCTTGCTCGACTCAGTCGAGGGAGACTGGACGCTGGTCGGTTGGTTGGCTCGCTTGGATGGTTGGGCGGAGGTGGCGTTGGTAGCTTGGTTCGATGATAGAACCATCAGTCCGCCTGGATGGATCGACGACTTGGAAACATCTGGATAAAATTTACTGCACCGTCGAACCGAGCTCGTCAAACTACGATCGCCCATCCCCGCTTTATCTTCGAAGAAATTCCGCTTCTTTTCCAACTACAGAGAGGTGTTTATAAAAACAAATTTGTTAGCCATCGACTGCTTTTAAAAAAAAAAACAGAATAGAGAAGGAAAATACTTACTTTGTCCTTGTAAACCAAATTAGCTGCTTTGACACTTTTGAATCTCTCGATACTTTCTTGTAATTGAGCTCTCAGAGCGACTTCGGTCGCCTGAAATCTAGCTTTCTCTTGACCGAATTCGGAGACAAATGATTGTAGCTCTTCATTCTCGCTAACTTTTTTAACATATTGTCTATAATACACATAACAATTTTCGATATCAGCTTCAGTCTCTATAAGAAGAGAATGAAAATATTTAAGGGATACAAAAAAAACAACAACTGACTCATGAAGTTGTTCTCCCTCGTTCTTTGCAATCCGATATTTTTCATTCAACTTGTCCATCTCAGTTTTGATCCTCTTTTCATCCAAGGAGCGAGCAAGCCGTTCATCGGTACGTTCCTTGCGTTCGGCTCGGAGATCTCTTGAAACTTTAAGGACCCGATCTTCGAGTTCTTGCTTGGAGTGATTCAAGACCCTTAAGGTCGCGGTCAAGTTCTCTCTCTCCCTTCTAAGCGAGACAGGTTCGAGGGTGAGCTGTTGGATCTTTTGTTCGCGTTCCTTGAGTGTTTCTTTGAGGGAGTTGAGTTCCTCTCGACACCTTGAGAGGCGGGGATCAGTTGAAGAGTCGCCGGTTCGAGCGATCACTTGGGATGAGCCTTGGTCGTCAACCTCTCGCTCGGTGAGTGAATGGAGGGTGATGAATCTTGCGGCAGAGGATGTTGAGGCGGCTCTTCTGAGAGTGATGTTACAGCTCGGACATTTGGTCGGATGTCTGCGTGAGAATTGGCTCTCGTCCCAGGTCCGGATGCAACTCAGATGGAAGACGTGACCACAGATCGTGGCAACGATATCCAGACCGGCTTCATCATCCTGGCAGATCGAACAGGTGGGCAGGACGATGATTCGAGAGCTGGACATGCGTGTTGAGGCGGTGAGGATCGAGTGCTGGTATTGATGTGTTTCTCTTGATTGCTGCTTGTACGAGATGGATCGAATCTCGCTCGGCAGGTGGAGGGTGAGTGTTATGGTTGGACTGGAGACGCGAAAGTAAACTTCTCCAAACTTTCGAAGGGCCTCATGTCCAGCTGGGCCGCAACTGGATGGCTGATGACATAATTCAAGAGGAGCTTGTACTCAGGAGGGGCGTCAAAGGCGCAGTCAAGCACCTTCCTTCTTGGGAGCTACATACATATCCCAGCGCTCGAAGAACTGAACATCACTTGAATCTGTCCTTTGATATACTCCCAAGACAGATCAAAGCTTAACATTCAAACCGGAGATCCGCGCCAAATCCTGAAAGTTGTCCTAGTGGCATATGTACATAGCTGATCAACCAAAGCCCCAGTTTTCTGATTCCCATTCATGACCCACAACCCCCTTCAACTCTTGAGTTTTCCTGTCAACAGAAATATTGATTCCTGAAAACTCCTGGAAAGGCTGTTTGCAGCTTGAGCCCAGCTTATAACTCAATGGTTGGTTTGAAAAGATCGAGACATTATGTCTCAAAGTAAGCACATTGTTATTTATTTAGATATCTGGAAAAGGGGACTTTCATAAGAAACCTTCCAAACCTGAAGGATATCATTGCAACCACTCTGGGATGTTGTAAGTCCCCAGAGCAGGACCCAATTTAAATTTTGGGGTCTTGGTTTTTTTGAGATTCATTACATATTACTCCCATTTGGCTGAGGCTCACCATGTTAAAAGTTTGAGTTTTTCCCACAACTCCCATTATCCTCATTATACCTGACCAAGGAATCCCTCCTCAGCCAGGAGGTACAGATTGTGACTCACCGGACTGGAAATGTGATGATGTCAGTGCTGGTCTCTTGTGTGACTCAGTGCTGATGCGGTACCTGGCAGTGGCTCCCCTGGGAGATACAGTGCCCCGGTGTAGTATACCTTAAGGGTAGCCATCTGGCCCATTTGAAAATTTTACAGTCTTTTCTTTTATTACAAATTACATACTTTTTTACACCTCTTTTCTCATATATACACTCACAGATCACCCAATATGGCTCAGGAACTGGATTCTATGGTCAATTTCACCCTTGGTCACCACTGGAGGCGTCACTGGAACTCAACTGGTTTGGAAGCTACACTTTCTGGACCATCACTACACTCAATTACACAACCCAAAACCATGTCAACACTTTAACACTCAACAACACCAACAAATTACATAATTCACACTACACACATGCACGTTGCAGGACAACTACAGTTGCAGAAGGCATAGACCGACCCAGGATTTTTTGGATGTCCAAATTGGCAAGCCAAAAAATCAGGATTTTTTTGTTTTTTTCAAACTTTTAGGCTTTTTTAGCCTTCAAACTGCTTGGAATATACTGTAGAGCATTCACCGATGCATAGGGTAGATGCTACAGGTATAATAGAGGAGTCTACAAGGTATAACCCCATGACTATGCGTGGTTAAACCCCATAGTTATGGATTTAGGCATGTCCAAATACATGCATTCGGAAAAAAAAAATTCAAGAACCGCTGGTGCAGAGGCTTAGCGGTTACAATTCTGAGCACGACACATGTGTACGAGTTCAAAAACTCAAAAAAATTGGGTGTGTGGGTATATGCCCCCCCGGGGATAGGCCCCGCATGTCAATTTTGAATTTTGCGGGCGGGGCAGGATCTTTTATGCCTTCCGCAACTGTACATAATCACACCATTATAGTACAGGTATACACACAACTACACTATCTTCTGACACTTGACATATGCAGCTTCTGGGCTGGTCCTGTTGCCATGTCACTTGTTAATCTTCCTTGAAGCTGTCACACTATCTCACACCACTCATGTAATATTCATCACCTCACCTTAGCTTGCAGACTAGTAGTAGTACATCACCTCATGTAAAATGCTTCACCAGCATAAAACCCTCATGCAGGCCTTGTAGACAAGCTAAAGTAACTCTCATGACATCATGTAGGTTGCTCAACCAGCCAAAATACCTCATGTACATGTTCTGAATAGCTAAAACCCCTCATTGTAAAGCTCTGGCCAGCTAAGATATCTCATTCTCTTGTTCCCCTGAAGCTAAAATCCCTCACCTTTGTGTATTTAAGAGGCTCTCCTCTCAGTTGTTTTCCCCTCAGTTTAGTATCCACCTATTTTATACCCCGTACCCTTACAAACCCTTACATACCATTACATACCATCCCCTTACCATTGAAAGATCAGCTAGACTCACTCTCTCACTCTCAAATCAACCTTTAGACCTATATAAAACTGGGTTAAACCCTTTGTCCACCTGTTAAGCCACAGTTGTCTTTTGATACACTCCGTTATCACTTTATTAAACCTTCCAATCTGAGATTGGTGGGCTTGTCTAGTGTCTAGTGATCCAGGAAAGGCAGATTTATCCTCATTCATCCCTTTCCACACTAAGCAAAAGGTTTTCACAAACACTTTCAAGCTTTACACCGGGGCTCTTCTGTGCTACCCCGTCAGGGGGTGTTCCAAATTTCCAAAACAAGACTTTCATTTTTTTTTTGGAATTTCCAGTTTATTTTCAAACAAAACTGGGTTTATCTTGGTTTTTCTGCAGGATTCTCACTTTCTTTCCCTATGGATGTTGTGGTTTTGATTTTTGATGTATTTTGTACAGCTTTTATTGCTCTGTATAACTGATCCTATGGCTTTTCTTTTTTATTTCTCATCTGATATGCACCTAACATCTGTATATATGCATACTACATATTGAATAAATCCATAGTATTTACCTAGAACTCCATATTGTGACACTCCTGGGTGGATGTTCCAAATCTGAAAAAAAAAGAAATTGATTTTTTTTATTACAACTACATGAGTTGTGGTTGTAGATTTGGGTTCTACCATGTATGTAGAGCCCAAAAACATAGAGTACACACATGTAGGCTCACTTGAGAAGACAAAAATACCAGTCAAAGTTCAAGAATAATTTTGCAGGCGCAGGGTTACACAGAAGATTGCCGAGGCACTGTAGCTGGAACCCATTGGAAGGTACCTGGAACCAACTGTGAAACCAATACAATACATGAATTTGTATCTATAGGTATTTGTATTTGTTTGTCTCTGAATACATTGTATTTGTATTGTATCATATGATGATAGGGACAGAAGGGGCCACTGCGGCAAGGCAGCTAGTTATGGGTGGAAGAAGGGTCAAACCTAATTTATCACTAGATTAGTTTTCAGCATGTTGTATTTAGTCTTAGCCATTGTACATGTCCTTTTTCTCTTCCTTTTATTTTCTTCACTCATCTTCTCGCCTTCTAATTCACAGCTCAATAGGTGCTTAGCTGTCTCCTTCTTCTCTCATGTTGGTCCTCTAGCTCCCTCCTTAGCTCACTGCTGTCCTCTGGCTTTTCTCAGATGCTTAGTTGTCTGTGCGTTGATAATCGCACTCCCCTCCCTTCCCTGCCCATCCATGCCCCGCCCCTCCAAAAGGGACGTGTGATCACACCTTCCCGTCTCTGAGGCCTGATTTTCCAAGGAAACAGGCTCCTGAGGGGCGGGGACTGAAACCCGCCCCTCAGAGAGGCTCAGAGGGGGGCAGGAGGACCTGCCCGTCCATCAAGAACCAAGATATTCTTGGTTCTTGACTGGTGGATTGCTTAACTAAGGGGCAGGGCCTGCAACCCACCTCTCAAATGGCATTGAACCTTACAGATTTGCCAATTGGTAAGTGCAATTATCAATGCACCAGTTGTCTCCTTTTTCTCTTATTTTATTGCTTCACTCTTGTCGGTAGAGATTGTTCCACGGTACCCTTTGCTAGGTACCTTGTACCGCTTGGGGGGTACCCTTCACACCCGCCCCGCACCCGTCGGGAGGTGCCAGGTGCGGTACTTGGTACCTATTTTTGTGGAAAATTGAACAGGTACCTAGGTACCACTACAGGTACCCCCTCACTTCCCTACCAAAATGATGGTGGCCTTCTACTCCAAGAACTCCAAGAAGGTACCTTGGCTACATGGAAACAGGGACTCAAGGATAACAAGAAGTCTAACCAAAAATCAAAAAGGAAGGTGATAGTTTTGGACAAAGATGAAGATTCTTCTAATTAGATATAATTTGTAGGCAGTTTAAGCTTTAAAATAAAATATTAAATCTGAAAAAATGAAAAAATTGACTTGGGATTGATGTTTTACAATAAATATGAAAAAAGGCAAGATTCTTCCCATTTGATGTAGATACTTGACAACAAATATGAAAAAAATGCCAAAAAAGTGACTTGAGCAATATTTTACAATAAATATGAAAAAAATAATAATAAAAAAGTGACTTGGTAATCTGAAAGTAAACCTAGGTTAGAAAGAGAGGGAAGGTACCCGCGGTACCCGCCAAAAGTACCTCCGGTACCCGCCAGGAGGTGCCTGGTGCGGTACTTGGTACCTATTTTTTGAAAAAATTCAACGGGTACCCGAGTACGAACGAAGGATCTCTAACACAGGTACAGATCACCACACCGCGCCCTCAAACAGACCAAGTTGGTGGCCCACTACACCCACCAGTTCAACATGTACACCCACAACGCTGGTTAGGAGGCCCCGACCCTCATCAGTCAGTACAAACACGGAATGAAGACCCAAATCCATGTGGTGCTGTTGATGGCCCTGGCGGATTTCACGGAATTGAGCAAAGTGGCCACCATCGCTCTAAAGATTGACAATGAACTCAACGGTATTGCCCTGGCTGAGACATTGCCAACCCCAGACCCCAATGCAATGGACTTGTTGGTAATGCCTGGACGACTCTTGGAAGCAGAGAAGACTAAGATGATGCAAGCCGGCCAGTGCTTTTGATGTAGCGGACAAGGCCACTGTGCGTGGGAATGCCAGGACCAAGACTTGAAGGGCAAAGGGAAGGAACAAACCCGGATTGCAGAGCTGGAGGAGGAGATCAAGCAGTTGAAGGTGGGAAGCAGTAAGGCGGAGTCATCAAAAAATGGAGGAGCTCAGGAATGAAGGATGTGCCTATCCTGAGCAGTGAAGAGTTGTTTGTTATTAGCATTGGCGCCAGTGAAATTTTATCAAGAAATCAAATTGATCTGTGTTTATGTATTTCTTTGCCCATTGTGCCACCCAAACATTCTTGA